ACATGGGTACAATGTTTGAACAGAACAATATGGAAACAGAGCTACAATGTTTGAACACAACAATATGGAAACATGGGTACAATGTTTGAACAGAACAATATGGAAACAGAGCTACAATGTTTGAACACAACAATGAGGAGACATGGGTACAATGTTTGAACAGAACAATATGGAAACAGAGCTACAATGTTTGAACACAACAATGAGGAGACATGGGTACAATGTTTGAACAGAACAATATGGAAACAGAGCTACAATGTTTGAACACAACAATATGGAAACATAGATACAATGTTTGAACACAGCAATATGGAAACATTTATACAATGTTTGAACAGAACAATATGGAACAGAGCTACAATGTTTGAACAGAACAATATGGAAACAGAGCTACAATGTTTAAACAAAACAATATGGAAACAGAGCTACAATGTTTGAACACAGCAATATGGAAACATGGATACAATGTTTAAACAAAACAATATGGAACAGAGCTACAATGTTTGAACACAACAATATGGAAACAGAGCTACAATGTTTGAACACAACAATAAGGAGACATGGGTACAATGTTTAAACACAACAATATGGAAACAGAGTTACACTGTTTAAACACAACAATAAGGAGACATGGGTACAAAATAATTATTTTTAAACACAATGTTGCGTATCTGCTTGTTGGTTAATTTCCCTTAGAAATTATTTCCGAGAAACTTCAGCAATACAGGTCCTTTCTTGGTTAACCAGTTTATTATTCCTCGATACAAACTTTTAGCTTAGCACACAGTAATTGCACAATCAATACGTTTCTCGTCACTTTAAACTTAACTACTTTAATAATACACGCTATAAATTACAGCGATTCACACACTTTACTTCCCGTCGCTACTGTTCGCTTCTTTAATTATTTATATTCCGTTAGCTTCTCTGCCAGGCTTGTATATTAACAAAGGGGGCATCTCTGAATGCACTCGGTCTTCCACGATAATTCATGATCATTAGAGAAATTCATCACGTGTTACCAGAGTCACGTAACTTCCGCTGTCGTAACAACAAGAGCCATTCTTCTTAACTTAACAACTTTTATAATACACGCTATAAATTACAGCGATTCACAATCTATTTCTCCGCTGGCTTTTTCTGCCAGGCTTATATACTAACGAAGAGGCATCTCCAACATTTGCGGACTTCCCCGATAATTCGAGAAACTCCTCAGGAACGCCACCAGCGTTACGTGACTTCCGCTGTCGTAACAATACCTCAGATCAATTTTTCACCAAGAGACGTGTTGCTAAACCTTACTGTTAAAGGTCTTGAAAATTTCTTAGTCATGTCTTTTTACCTGTTCTGTACTAGGATTCTATATCATTGGGCCACATCGTGATGTCTATGCCAGTAGCTACCTTCTTAAATATAACTTATGTCTTTTCTTGAATCAATTCGGAAACTTCCATGATTACTAAATTTTGATTTTAATGTGATTTATTCTCTGATTTTGTAGGACATTAATTTTGTTATACAAAGTATCGCAGGATTGATAATAATATATACATTTATTTGTTTTGAATTTCGCGCAAAGCTACACGAGGGCTATCTGCGCTGGCCGTCCCTAATTTAGCAGTGTAAGACTAGAGGGAAGGCAGCTAGTCATCACCACCCACTGCTAACTCGTGGGCTACTCTTTTACCAACGAATAGTGGGATTGACCGTCACATTATAACGTCCCCACGGCTGAAAGGGCGAGCATGTTTGGTGTAACGGGGATTCGAACCCGCAGATTGCGAGTCGAGCGCCCTAACCACCAGGCCATGCCGGGCCAATAATATATACATTTCATTACAACTTGCGAATTTCAAACAGGTTAGTTTGCACTTCTGAATTACGTAATTCACAGTTTATAAATGTTAATTTCTTGCTTACTAAACAAAACTAAAATATTAAGTTAAAGTTCGGGTTGGGTGGAAGGGCAGGATATTTTAACAGGGTTTATCTAGACCAAAAGTGAAGCCCTCTAGGCAGATTTCTTCAAACCAATCACAGCACGAGATATAAATCGTACTGGAATAAAAACTTGCAGAAATAATGTCACCAAACCAAGCTTTAGTTTGTATCGAGTTTTGCCTGCAAAGTGCACGTGTCAAAATGTCTAGCTGTAGAGTTACTGGAAATTATTAATATACATCTTGATTTTTCGAGTTTTATGTTTAATGATGGTCATAAAATCATAAGTGTTGAGGCTACGAGAAAACGTTTGCGTTCTGAATGAAGTGTTTATTGATTTCCTTTATAGATGGCACTAAAAGTCACAGCTGGTTACTAAGGTCGCAAGTTTGCGCTAACGTGACATTAATTCACCTTACTTTTTAACGTAATTTCTGTGCGTTAAAAGGAACTGAAAGGCTTATCAAGGCAATCAACTAATAAATAAAAGCTTATTAAAACTCACAAAGCCTCGCTCAAGATTAAAAGCGAATTAGTCACATGCGAGGAAAAGTGATTTTTTCCTTAATTTGTATAAATTATTTAACTGTACATTTCTAAGCACGTAATTCACTTACGTAATGTTTAAATACACCTTGATACTTCTTTCCTCAATGTTTTCTACCCCCTAAAAATACATTATATATATATATATATATATATATATATATATATATATACAACACACAACAATCACTATATAATAATACTACTATATTACTTACTTAGTTTATACTATAATAACTAAACGAAAACTAAAGTAAGAACA